AAAAAAAAAAAAAAAAAAAAAAAAAAGAAGTGTGTAAGAGCTTTTCACTGAGTGTATATTTATGGTATGAAAAAGGCAGGACTGTGCTTTTGTATCACTCTGCAAAAATCATTACCATATTTTCTTGGGATAGACATGAATGAAGTAGTGATAGTCTTGGGTATTTGCTTTCTTCTGCTACAGTTCTAATAGGTATTGATGGAACTGTAACTGATGCTCTTGAGGCAGAGGAAAATACAGAAGGAGGTTTAAGTTGCAGGTGCAATAATGGAAGTCCAAAAGAATTCTGAGGAGATATCTCAAAGGGCCCGGGCTTAACATCAAACAGTTTTTCTGGTTTTATAAATGTTGCAGAGTCCTGCTGAGGTGTCAAGTTTTCTTGTCCAACATACTGATCCAAGTTCACATGCTTAGGAATTTCTGTAATTATTGTTTCTGCCCATTTCTTCTGCTCAACTGCTTTTTTTATGGCTTCAGTATTATACTGGCTCAAATTCAAATGGGACATTGAAGTAGTGTCCATTGCTCTCTTTGGCAAAGGAGGCTGGAAGAAATCAGATAATCCCCAAGCCACTCTTGGCTGTGGCGGAGGACTGAAGGGAACTTGAGGAACTCTTTCTGTATGGAAGGAAAGGGGCTTAAATTCAGGCTTGGGCTGAAATTGAAGCAAAGGAAAACCATCACCAGGTCTGAAAGTTTTTGCAGTGGGGATAAGTTCAGGTGTCTTCAGAATGGCAGAAGACGTGGACAAAAGGTGGAGGTGAGTATTTCCAGCAGGGGCTGGAGACAATGAAGTGGTTGGTAAGCTCTGAGATGCTGGAGTTAGTCCTCTATTCTGGGTTTGGCCTTCTAATTGACAAAAAGGAACATTCCTATGTGGAACATTCTGGAAGAGAAAAAAATATTATGTAATATTAAAATACATTACGAACTCCTACTTTTTAAATGATGTTCGATATGTTTTGGAGGAGGTGGAATATAATTACTAAATAAGTTACTTACTCAAATAACCAACAACTGAACTACTAGGACAACTTTAATGGTATTTTAAAATGCATTACCTGTAAATTTCCATTACTATTTTCATCAGATTGCACAATTCCTTTATGGCAGTGTGGGCTGTTCTTGCCAGGCTCTCTGGTGTACTCTCCCATGGGTTGTGGTTTAACGAAAAATCTCTCCTTCAGATTTCTACTGGTGTCTTCAACATCATTACTCCCTCTTGTGGGGTTTGATCCTTGGCTTCCCACCAAATGCACAGACTGAGACTGCTGTAGAAGTTGATGTATGTCTGGGAGGTTAGCAAAGGATGATCCTACTATTTGCATTAGGCTCATGAAGTTGATCTGTTGCAGCTAGGATAAAATAAAAATTAAAGAAACATCTTAAAATATAATGAAAAGAACCTAAAGAAGCAACAATAATTATCTGAGTATTCCAGAATAGTCATACTTCTGTCTTAGTAACTGCTGGAGCCATAAATGCTGAATAGGAAGCAGAGCTGGGAGAGATTTTTAAAAAAAAGGAAAAGAAGAATAGCTTCCTGTTTTCAAGGAGCTGTCAACTAGGAATATGAACCCCTAGTGAGACTTGGGACTATCTGTAAAGCAGTTTACATAAACATCCCTGGGACCATAAAGGAGTGGTCTGATGGAGTGGGTGAGGATAATTAAAGAATTCCTAAAATGGGTGTGTTGTGGCAGGGTTTTTCAGGAAAGAAAAAAAGCAGAGATTAGCAACAGGTGAAGAGAGAGGAGTTCCTGTGGAAGGGCTGACCGAGTGAAAGGCAAAGGTATGCACTGTGGCTGACAAACCTTGAATAACAAAATCACTTGAGGAGCATTTAAAAAGTCGCAATGGCCAGGTCACACCCTATACCAGTAAAATCAGAGTATCTGGGGGATGTGAGCCAGGATTAGTATTTTTTAAGATGACTAGGTGATTTCAATGTACAGAAAAGCTTGGGAACCACTAGCATGTACACTGGCTTAGATGGAGCAGGAAATTTATAGCTAATGAGAAGGGAAGTTAGTACAGTGGTCCAAACTGTAGCATGCATCAGAGCCACCTGTAGGACTTCTAAAAGCACTCTTTGTTGAGCCCCATCCCCAGAGTTTGATTCCAGTAGGTCTGGGATGGCAGCCTGAGAATTTGTGTTCCTAATATCTAAGTGATGCTGATGCTAATTGTTCAGGGCCCACACTTTGAGAACCACTGGACTTGTGAGAGTATGGTGGGAAAAGAGGGGAGATAAAAGCTGTCCATGGGGGTCTTTCAAGCCCAACAGAGGAATTTGCACTTCTTAAAACAAGCCAATAAGGAAACACTGGGGGTTTTTAAAAAAAATGTAGGTCCCTTCAATTACAAAAGAAATATATGCTTATTACAGAAAAAAAAGGATAAAAGAGAAAATAAAAATGATTCATAATCTTATTCCCAAAGATAACTAGTATTGACATTTTTTAGTGTATATCCTTTCATTCTTCGTATTTTTATTTTTTTATTATTTATTTTTGGCTGCTTTGGGTCTCCGTTGTTGTGGGCTTTCTCTAGTTGCAGTGAGTGGGGGCTACTCCTCATTGCGCTGCGCATGCTTCTCACTGTGGTGTCTTCTCTTGTTGCGGAGCATGGGCTCTAGGCACATGGGCTTCAGTAGTTGTGGCACGTGGGCTCAGCAGTTGTGGCTCACGGGCTCTAGAGCACAGGCTCAGTAGTTGTGGCGCATGGGCTTAGTTGCTCTGCAGCATGCGGGATCTTCCCAGATCAGGGCTCGAACCCATGTCCCCTGCGTTGGCAGGCAGATTCCTAACCACTGCACCACCAGGGAAGTTCCATTCTTTGTATTTTTAAAACATGACTGATATCATATAGTATACAAATTTGTGCCTGAAACTTACTGAAGATTTTAAAGCAGGAAAATAAGAGTATTAAAACAATATCTGGGGAAAAATGTCTCAGAAATGCATATATGAGACAATGGAAGTATGAAGTTCTAAGAACCTACGGTTGGCTACCGCTGTAGAAATAGCAAGTAACTGTACTGACATACAATGTGGGCAAAAGAGTCAAGAGGGCATAGTAAAACACTGGATATGCATAGTGAAAGAAGGTAAAGATGACTCTCTAAGACAGTGATTCTTAATCTTCTCCAGAATTATCTGGAGAATTTGTTAAATATACAGGGCAGTGACCAGCAAAGTCCCTAGGTAATCCAAAAAACAAGTTTGACAAATGCTTCTAAAACTTTAAGCAGGTAAAATAGGTCATGCTAGTAAATAGAAAAGGGAAAGAAGAGACTCAGAAGAATAAGAATAAAATCAGTTTCAAAAAGTTCCATGGCACAGTGGGACATGCTGAAAAAGTATTTCCATCAGGACCCATAGTTCAAAGATTTTTTTTTTTAGTATAAACATCCCAGCAACAGCACATGGGGAGCTGTCACGGAGGGCATAGGTCTCTACTGGAGGAGGGGTGTGGGCAGGGCATGAGGAGGGGTATGGGCATGCTAGGAGGATGGGAACAGTCCTGGCTGCCCCACCGTGGGATGTGTGAGGGTCTCTGGCCAGGCCACAGTCCACATGGGAAGACACCAATCAGTCACGAAGTCATGGGAACGCCACACAAGCCTGGCTGTGGGCCCAGGCACCACACAGGCGCATTCACTGTTAAACTATACAGGATGAGGCTGTACATGAGTTAATTACAAAAGAGTCGCATTTATAAAAATCTGTACACATATTTGAAAAACTCACAAAATTAGTGCCCAGAATTATCCATATAAAAATGGTATACTGGGGCTTCCCTGGTGGCGCAGTGGTTGAGAGTCCCCCTGCCGATGCAGGGGACACGGGTTCGTGCCCCGGTCCGGGAAGATCCCACATGCCGTGGAGCGGCTGGGTCCGTGAGCCATAGCCGCTGAGCCTGCACGTCAGAAGCCTGTGCTCCGCAATGGGGAGGCCACAACAGTGAGAGGCCCGTGTAACGCAAAAAAAAAAATGGTATACTGCATCACATAAAAGGATATGAGGGCTTCCAGGGTGGCGCAGTGGTTAAGAATCTGCCTGCCAGTGCAGGGGACATGGGTTCACACCCTGGTCCATGAAGATGCCACATGCTGCAGAGCAACTAAGCCCGTGAGCCACAACCACTGAGCCTGCGCTCTAGAGCCCACCAGCCACAACCACTGAGCCCGCGTGCCACAGCTACTGAAGCCCGTGTGCCTAGAGCCCATGCTCCGCAACAAGAGAAGCCACTGCAATGAGAAGCCCATGCACTACAACGAAGAGTAGCCCCTGCTCGCCACAATGAGAGAAAACCCACGCACAGCAACTAAGACCCAATGCAGCGCAAAATAAAATAAATAAATAAAAAAGAAAATTGTATGATTAAAAACAAAAAGGATATGAAAGTGAATGTAGAACACATGAAGAGAAGATAAGATCTGAGGGAAATTAATGTTTAAGGAATAAAACAGAAAAGGGAAATATTTAAAAATTGTTAGTAGACAGAGGAAAGGATAACCAGGTGAGAAAAAGATGATGGAAGGCAAAGTGAACAATACCTTAAAATGCAGCTGACAATTTCAAACCAAGCCAACATTTGGTTTGGAGATGATAAATGTGATGTGACAGGCTGTGTTAGAAAATAAACTTTGCGCACCTTTGAGCAGGGGCCGCTGGTCTGGTTTGATTATCCCCCACCTCACTTTTGTGAGCAGCTCTGCCTCCCCAAGAGCTCAGTAAAAAAAAGTCGCCATGGGAAGTAGGGAACTCAGCCTAGACTCTCGTCCCTAGAGTTAGGACTTCTGAATAACAAAGCAAGAGTGCCCAAAGCAGAAAAGCCCTGCAATTTAACTTTAACTCGTCTGTCTCTGGAAGTTTGTTCACATTTTAAAACCTTACATATATATCATGTGTAGACTTACTTGTTTATATGAAGATGTGCTTACCTGAACTAATTTAAACATTTCATCTTGGAGCATTTCCCTAACAGAATCGGAATAATGTGATAACTGAGCCCTGGGTTCGTTTCTCTGGGCTGGCTGAGCTGTTGGCCCAGGTGTTTGTGAAGCAACAGTGACTCTATTTGATACCAAAGGCGGAGCTGAGGAAGATTTATCTTTACATGCAGAGATCCGTGCACTATGTGGAAGCATATAAATAAAAAACACACATTAATCAAGAAAGAAACAAATTAGATGTCTATGAGCTGAGTATTTTGATCCTACTTTTTAATTCTACTTTAAAAGCTTTCTGGAGGTTTTCAGGAAATTTAAACTCTAAAGCCGATCTCACTTTATCCCTCAGCCCCCAGACACATTTGTCATCAGCACAGTTATTCATCCAAATGCTGTAATTAAGGGACATGTAATGTCTAGTCAGCCATGGTCCCCTCCCTATGGTGTTACAACCCAGGACAGTTCTCACGTTCATTTTACTTGCCTGGTCCCTACAGGCAGCTGAGTTTGAGACCTGTGCAATCATTCTGATTAGGTGTACAGAGTATGTAATTTGGCTTAGGAATATATTTCTTGGACTAAATTTAATGACCCAGAATGGATTTAAGAAAATTGTGGAAAGTATGGGTTAAAAAAATGTTTAATTCTAACATGGATAGAGCAAACTCCTGTCATTCTTCATTAAATGTGAAATAACAGTATTGTGAACATTTCATTTCCAAACAGAGAGTTGATATTAATAATTAAACCCTGACAAAAATGCTTATTTAGAAATAAAAGTTAAAAATCAAAGTAAGTTTTGTTTTATAAAATGATTGTTTGGGGATGATTCCTTAAAACATAGAAGGGACTCAATGTTGTACAAGCAAATCAATTTTATAACCTAAATTAGGGAACAGGCACTATCATGTCGAAATAAACTGATCACTGTCTCTATAAAGAAAATAACACATTAAACTGTGTTTATATTTATTTGGATTTACATTCATTCCCTTTCAGCAACAACATTTGCCTTTTGTCAAGCATCTCACAACCTTAATAACAAAACTATATTTGGGAAATCCATAAAAAACAGGCGTTACAACTGACTTGCCTATTTTAAGACAACTTTATTGGCCTTTGCTTTCAACAAATAACAAGGAGATAAATTCTACTACTGGAGAATTTTTTTAAAGCAAATTTGTGCTATATCATTCTCCTATTTCAACACGATTTGTAAACACTAAACACACTGTTCAACTTCTGTAAAATAAATACAGAAGGCAACTGGATGACTCTTTTCTATGAGAGAATTAGAAGCATTTCATATGCTATTAGAGATCTGCTAGAGGCTGAAAATGAGCAAGAACTACATCTTTCAATAATATATCCACTACTTCTTTTTTCCAGAAAAGACTTGTTCTAAAATAGTTCCTGCATGTCTTTAAAACACAACTGTTAGAGGAAAATCTTTTACTCTCTTAGTTTTTGGTCAAGATGTTAGTAATTATTTCAAAATGGTATAGTAGGCATCATTTCATTCTCTTATCTATTTGTAATTATATCAATATGGTACAGTATGCAAAAATTCTCACCTAGAAACTTCTGAACTTGTATCTACACCAAATGAATGAGGAGTGATGTGTTCTGGATCTATAAAGCCTTCGATCATACTATAATTAAAGATTAATAATCAATTAGGAAGCAAGATATTCTTCGCATTACCTAAGGTCCAGGTGATCTAATGCTCCACAATCTAAGAGTCTAAACATCCTCTAATCTTCTGTAATGCTTAGCTCATAATTACAATCTATTTACATCTGTCTCTATAGCAATAGTAACAGATTCAAACAAAAGCAAAGAGTATGTCTGGATGGCTTTAATATACGACTTGAACACTATTAAATGCTTGGCAACAGAAATAATATAATCTAAAATGAGCGGAAATGAAGTTAGCTGGGACCTCAAATTTTACCTAGGAAGAAGCAGACACTTTGCTCAGGAACACTACAGAGACCATTATCACATCTGAAACTGTAATGACTAGTTTTTTATTAATAGAAATATCTATATTACTTGTAAAGGCACAGGACATTAAACATATTTTTTTGTTAATTATCCACAGAAGACCCCAACAAAAAAGAAGAGAAAGAAAATCTAATTATGTTGCCTCTCTTATCTGAGGTAATTCTAAAATTCTAAAACATCAAAAATTCTAAAAATTAAGAAATCATGCCCAAACTGCAACAAATGAAAACTGCCTGCAGCTATCCTTGAAGCAATAATAAGCTAGCGGGCTTCCCTGGTGGCACAGTGGTTGAGAGTCCGCCTGACGATGCAGGGGACACGGGTTTGTGCCCCAGTCCGGGAAGATCCCACATGCCGCAGAGCGGCTGGGCCCGTGAGCCATGGCCGCTGAGCCTGCGCGTCCGGAGCCTGTGCTCCGCAACAGGAGAGGCCACAGCAGTGAGAGGCCTGCGTACCACACACACAAAAAATAATAATAATAAGCTAGCAAGCAGAGTATGTGTCCATCAAAGCCCTATGGACAGTGTGCAGTAATCATACCATAACACTGAAAGATTATACATATATGACTCATAATGATTCTTTACCTGACCCATGAAAAGTGGAATTAGTATGGAAAGGGAGTACCCTAATTAGCAGCTGAATAACTCTGGTATATTCATAGCTATATTTTACTTTAAGGTTGATAGTGACAGGAGAACAAAAAGCATTTTAGACATCATTATTTATTTCACTCTACCAAGATTTAGAAGTATAGAATTTACTAAAAATCATCACTACCATTACTATTAAATTGAGGTTACAATTTCACTAGGAACACAGTATCACCATAAAATATATATTGTCAATGATGAGGAAAACAAAAAACCCTCTTCATCAAGTGAATCCCAGATGAGCTTTGAAAGCTTTCCATACTTTTTCCCCCTTACCCTTTCTGTTCAGTTGATTTTTCCTCCATACATGTCTCTAACAGTTCTTCCCTTGGACACTGAACCTCTCCTGTGGAATGCTGTTAAAATTAATAGTACCCAAAAAGAAAATAGGTGAAACAAACAGGTATTACTGTCTTAGGTATCTTGAGTTTCACATTAGCCATTCGCCTGGAATAAAAACAGTCTAAAAGCAAGTGTGAAACCAAACATTAAAATGTACTCCCAGTCCTGCTCTGACTAGACCTTTATACTGTGATGCCTTTGGCCCATCACCCTGAGCCACTGAGCATATTAAACTACAAAGACAAATGATGTCACTAGAAATCATTTACAATGTATTTGTAAATTAAATTACACACACATCACTACATAAGTAAGTACAACTGACCTTTGAACAACACTGGTCTGAACTAAGGGGGTGCACTTATATGCAGATTTTTTCAGTAAATACACTACACCATCTGGGGTTGGTTGAATCCGCGCCAGGTCCTGGAACCAATCCTCCGTGAATACTAAGGGATGAATGGATGAGGATTTTTGACTGCATGGGGGTCAAAGCCCCTAACTGCCATGTTGTTCAAGGGCCAACTGTACGCTGTGAAAACAACTAGAATATCAGAAAAAAAAAAAACCATCCTTCTTAAAGGAATTGTTTCAATAATTAAAGATGTCTGTGTTCTACCTGGAAATCCAGAGTATAGGGTTTTGAGAAAAGAAATAATACATAAAAGTGCATGTATGTGTAAAAACTGCACACTACTGCTGAATTATACATTCTGAATATGGAACACTTGCATCACTCTTGATTAAATTAACTTACTATAGCAGTTTATGAAATTAACATTTCATTGCCTGAAATTATTAGACATCTAACTAATTATAGAATTTCAGTGGAAGAAAAATGCTGCATGGCTACACTCTACAATCCACAGTACACTTTTAAGAGAGAATAGCCTTGGTTGGATATATTGAATAAAACACTATAGTGTTACCATAGCATAATTTAAGTAACTTTATCCACTACTTATAGACTTACTTCTTCTAAATGCTGTGGTAAGGTCTGCATCTGCATGTAAGACGCAATACTGGGACTTTTAACAATTCCAACAGATTCTTTGGCATCCTCTACACGGAAACAAGAAGGAAGAGAAAACTGACCTTTTGAAAAATAATCAATTTTCTTTTTAGAATGTTCAGAAATATTATAGGAAACAAATATAATAGCAGAAACATTTTCTATCCTCCTTACAAAAATATCTTTAAACACCTAGAGACAACCCCTCTTCATCAAGTGAATCACAGGTGAGCCTTGAGAGGCCTCATATCAGTGTGTATAACTCCATATAAAGCTCTGAGAGTTTCTGTTTTAAAGAAGACTGCCAAGGAAAGGTTCATAGAATTGGTTCACAGCAATGAGGAGACCCATAATAATTACACAGCAAGGCAAAAGGCCTCAAAATTGTATAGTCAGGTTATAAGTTAATATGCTTAACGTTTCATAAATATTAACTACTCTTTAAATACTTGGCTTTAGGCTATTATAAACATGCCAATTTAGATGTAAGACTAAGTTATCTCAGATAATCATTCAACAATATCAAATTAGTAAGGTCAAACAAAAAGATTAGCTAAATGAACTGACCTTCATAGTCTGATGGGTATATATCCATTTCCTCCTGTGCAAAAGTTTCTACTTCTAAAAGATCCTCCTCAGTATCTACAAATACTTTTTCAGTATCATCAGTGACAGAAATAATTTCATCATCGGTTCCTTTTATTTCGGGATTTTTTACTTCAGTTGGCATTCTACTGACAAAAATTAAGCAGCTAAAATTATAACTCATTCTTGGGAACAAAGAGCTTGCTTTCAATTGATTCAGTTTATTGAGAAAGAACAAACTAAGCTTTCGTATTTATAAAGTTTGTTTTTTAACCATGTATGGCAAATACCAGAAGCTTAACAAAAGGTTGTTCAATAAGTAATTGAATGTCCCGTTTTTATTTATTCAAAGGATCAGAATAATTTCGACTTTTCTAAATTTGCCATTCTCACAAAGGAATCTTCCTGCTACCAAGGCTTCAGCTTTAGTATTCAAAGATACATTACTTGTAGTATTACTTAATATGTAAAAATGGATGAGATGATTAGTTCAACTTCCTCTGACACAGGAAATCAATGAACATAATAAAGGGATCTCTTGGGATGAATTAGCTCCTCTCTTACAAGATATAAGCTAGACCAACACGTAAAGAAACAAAATTTGTAATGAATTGTTAAAGTACTTCAGAAAGCACTTGCTTACTACTTCTCTAGTTCAAAGAAATGCTCATTTCTTTAACCTTCAAGGGTTCAATTCTCCTTTAAGCCCAAACACCATCAAACGAGGTACTTGAAAAGGAAGGTATAATCAGCAACTTACTTTAAGATACTTTGACAAGATTCATTCTGATCATTTCTTTCCTCACTCCCACCTTGAGTGGATACTGCAACAGAACAACCAGCATCTGTTTTATAATCACTCTCTATATTGGGTCCATTCTGAGGCTCAGGGTAATTATTCTCTAGCACCTAAAACAAACCATTTATAGTACTTAATATTCATTACTGAATCCCTTACTTTTCATTACATTTTTAGATTATTAATACTTTCTACAGAACTTCTCCTGATTAAGTCTCTTATTCATTTACCAAGTATTTACTGCATTTCTAATACTCAATATTTGATGATGAAGCAATGACTATCTTTATTCCACCTAGAAAAAATAAGCTTGACTACCTAAAGAGTATTCAAAAGAAATCAGCCTTACAAACTTGAAAGGTATATCACCAGTGTTTTCAGGCCACAGAACAATAGCAATAAAAATGTAAAGTTGCTTTCATTTCACTCTCTTTACAGTTATAAAGACATTTAGTAATTATTTCAAAATGACATAGTGGGCAAAAATATATGCAGCTAAAAATACAAGGGATGTATCTCTTTTGTTTTACTTAGAAATTTAGGTATGTATCACCTAGAAACACTTAAAAATTTCCATGACAACAAATATCACAGTATCTTCTAGACTACCTTACAATAACAGAAACTGATCTCAAAAAAAGGAAAAAAAAAACACAAAAAGAAAACATAAAACAACAAAAATTCTTCAATCCAGAGAATAAACTAGTTTAAAATGAAGGCAATTCAAAATAGAACAAATGAAGAATTAAAAAGTGTGGAGGGGTGTTGACCAAGATGGCAACACAGGAGGCTCCTGAATTCTCCTCCTCTCACAGACACACTGAACGTACAACTACACACAGAAAATTACCACTGAAAGAAATCCAGAAACTCACTGAGTGACTCCTATACATCAGGGGAATAAGAAAACACATGTTGAAACAGGCAGTTAAGGCTGAAACACAATCTGACCATAAACCCCAACCCTGGAACAGCGCCCTACAAGCAGGAGGGAACTTCTAACTTCCAGCTTCTAAAAAGCAAAGGGTTTCGACCCTACATTTAGTGCCCAGACTTTTAAGACTCCTACTTGAGAATCAGGCCCCCAAAACACCTAGCTCTGAGAGCCAAAGAATCTTGTATCCATGAAACCCACAAGACTATAGCAAACAAAGATGCAGTTATTAACAAGTGTGTGAGCACTCCACTGCAGCTATCCCCACAGGGCTTAGCACAGAGGGGCAGGCAAAAACAGCCATCTCTCAGTCTTCCCCTGGAATAAGTCCATCTGCATACTTTGTAAGCTGCTGCCTGGGGATCCCGTGCCTGGCTCCAGCCCTCCCCAGACACCAGGGAAGCCAAAGGACACCTCCTCTATCTTCTCTATCTAGCCTGCTCCAAGTCACCAGTATCTCCCTAGAAGGAGCCAGTACGCGCATATGTTGCCCCAGTTTTTGCAGCTGCTGACTGAGGGGGAGGTCCCTGGACCACCTGCCTCTGATAGCCAGTACGGCTTGTATTCACAAGTCCTACAGGACTGTAGCAAACAAAGAAGCAGTTCTTAATGGGTGCAGGAATACCCACAATGGCTATACACATGGGCCCAGACCACAGGGAGCAGGCAAAAATACCCATCTCCCGGTTACTCCCCAAGAAGGGCTTAACTACATACTTTGCCACATGCTGTCGGAGGGTCTGGCTTCCAATCAGCCTGCATCTGGTGCTAAATGTGATCTACCCCTCTGGGACACTGACAGGTCTTCGCATAACCTCAATTACTAGGAATCACGAAGAACAAAGGAGGCTTAGATAATCACAAAGGTTTCAGAGACAACCAAAAGCTCAAGCCAGGCTAACTGATGAGGTTCATCTCCTACATAAGACCACTCTGTTCAGACTGGGCGATGTGGCTATTTTATCTAATGCTCAGAAACCAACAAAGAGGCTCAAAGAAAATAAAGAAACAGAGGAATATGTTCCAAACAAATGAATAAGATAAATCTCCAGAAACAGATCTTAATGAAAGAGATAAGTGATTTACCTGATAGAGATCTAAAATAACAATCACTGAGATGAGGCCAACAATGCATGAACAAAGTGACACTTTCAAGGAAGAGACAGAAAATACAAAAAAAGTACAAAACGTAAATTAGAACTGAAGAACACAATAGCTGAACTGAAAAAGTCACTGAAGGGATTCAGTAACAGACTAAATCAAGCAGAAAAAAGGACCAGAGAACTCAAAAATAGGGCAGTGGAATCAAAGAAGCAAGAAGGAAGAAGAATAAAAGAGTGCAGATAACTTAAGAGACCAATATATGCATTACAGAGGTTCCAGAAAGAGAGAAAGGGGCAAAAAGCTTATTCAAAGAAATAATGGCTGAAAACTACTCAAACCTGGGGAAATAAACAGACATCAGATCCAGAAAGCCCAGAGAGTTCAAAAATAACATAAATCCAAAGAGACCTACACCAAGAGACAAGAGTTAAAAACAAGGAGAGAATCTTAAAAGCAGCAAAAGAAAAACAATTTGTTACATACAGAGGAACCCCTATAATGTTATCAGTAGATTTTTCAGCAGAAATTCTGTAGTCCAGAAGGGAATGGCATGATATATTAAAAGTGCTGAAAGAAAAAAACTGCCAACCAAGAATACTCTACCCAGCAAAGTTGTCCTTCAGAATTGAAGGAAAGATAGTTTTCCAGACAAGCAAAAGCTGAAGGAGTTCATGACCACTAAACCAGCCTTACAAGAAAAGTTAAAAAGAGTTCTTCAAGCTGAAACAAATAGATGCTAATTAGTAGCAAAAAAACATACGAAAGTATAAAACTCATTGGTAAAGGTAAATATATAGTTAAATTCAGAATATTCTAGTGTTGTAATGGTGGTGGGTTAAACACTCATAACTCTACTATGAAGAATAAATCACAAAAGTATTAAAGATAACTATAACTACAATAATTTATTAATGGATACACAATGTAAAAAGATATAAATTGTTACATCAAAAATATAAAATGCAGGGAGAGGGGTAGTGTAATAAATATGCAGAGCTTTTGTATGCATTCGAAGTTATCAGCTTAAAACAGACTATTACAAATATAACTTGTTTCAGTATAAGCCTCATGGTAACCACAAAGCAAAAGCCTATAGTAAACAAGCAAACAAAAAACCCACAAAAGATTTTTTAAAAGGAATCCAAGCATACCTCTACAGAAAATATTCAAATCTCAAAGAATAGAGCAAAAGAGGAAGAGGGAGTTCCCTGGTGGCCTAGTGGTTAGGATTTGCATTGTCACTGCTGTGGCCTGGGTTCAATCTTTGGTTGGGAAAGAAACTGAGATCCTGTAAGCCATGCGGCATGGCCAAAAACAAACAAACAAAAAACAGCAAGAGAGGAAGAACAAAGGAAATACAAAACAACCAGAAAACAATTAACAAAATGGCAGTATTAAGCCCATACATATCCATACACATCTATAATTGATTTAAAGGTAAATGGACTAAATTCTCCAATCAGAAGACATGGAGTAGTTGAACGGATTAAAAAAAAGACCCAACTGTATACTGCCTACAAGAGACTCGCTTCAGCTTTAAAGACACACGCATACTGAAAGTGAAGAGATGGAAAAGTATTCCATGCAAGCAGAAACCAAAGGAAAACAGGGGTAGCTATATTTAGACAAAACGAACTTTAAGCCAAAGACTATAACAACAAAGAAGCTCATTATATAATGATAAAGGGGCCAATTCATCAAGAATATATAACATCAATTAATATTTATGCAGCCAACATAGAAGCCAACACAAAAATTAACTCAAAATGGATTAAAGACTTGAAAGTAAGACCTGAAACTATAAAGCTCCTAGAAGAAAAGACAGGCAATTAAAGCTCCTTGATGATGGTTTTTTAGATTTGACACCAAAAGCAAAGGAAACAAAAGCAAATTTGAATTATACCTCAATAAAACTGAAAAAAAAAAGAACAAATTTAGGTACTATTAGAATTCTCCAAATATTAAAAAAAAAGTCCATGTCCCAACTACTTTACCATATAGAAATTTGTTTTCCAAGAAATTCACCTCCATCTTTTTCTGGAGTACAACAGCAAGTACTCAATCAAAAGATATTTATGAAAAAATTACTTGCCTTGCAAACAGTTAGGTTAAAAGAGCAGCCTTTTACTTGCCACTGGGTAGAGAAAAGAAATAACAGCCCGGGCTTCCCTGGTGGTGCAGTGGTTGAGAGTCTGCTGATGAAGGGGACACGGGTTTGTGCCCCGGTCCGGGAGGATCCCACATGCCGCGGAGCGGCTGGGCCCATGAGCCATGGCCGCTGAGCCTGTGCGTCCGGAGCCTGTGCTCCGCAACGGGAGAGGCCACAACAGTGAGAGGCCCGCGTACCGCAAAAAAAAAAAAAGAAAGAATAGCCCATAAGCATTAATTTCTCTACTGATATCCATCTGCCTTTCTAGGTTTGGTCCTCCAACCTCATCTGCCAGATAGTATAAGAAAAGATGATCCCCTAATACGTACAATGAGATATCAGTAATAAAAACTGGACAGCTGCCTAGTTCTTCCTCATCTGAACGAAACCCTAAAACTTTAAAAAGAAATAACAGAAATGTAATACCACTTGTAATATCACTTAAAATTATCTCCTTTTTCTTCCTCATTTTTTTTTAATTTTTTTTTATTTTGGCCACGCCACGCAGCTTGCAGGATATATCAGTTTCCCGACCAGGGATTGAACCCGGGCCACGGCAGTGAGAGCACCAAATCCTAACCACTAGACCACCAGAGAACTCTTTTTCCTTTTTATAAACACACGTGAAACCTCAAAACCTCACAGCCTCTCTGAAAGCACTTTAACCCTAATTTATCATTTTTAAGAATTAAAGGAACCACTTTAAAAAATTAGGTGATACAGGTTATAATCAGCATTGTCATTAGCTTTGTTACTTAGTGATTATTATATAAGGAAATATAAATATAGCTTTAATCTAAAATGAGAATTCTCATTTGTATGTAATTAACAATTCAAGTATTTACCTTAATAATGGCATTTTTTGCCTTATATGTAGCAAAATAGGGTTGTTTCAAAAGCCACAATGATGTAAGAATGGCAGCTGTAGAGGTCTTTACACGAATGACGGGACTGTACTCACAGGATGACGCAGTGAGACCAAAATCACAGAGCAGTCTTCTATCAGACCATCTTATCATCCATTCCAACAGCCTTCTTATACTGCCAAATGTGTTATTTAGTGCTAGAGGAAGATCTTCTCGAGGGTTAATATCATTGCGTTGAATTGCTTTGAAAATACATCTTCTAGTTTCAACAGACTTGGGAGTGCAAAAACTATGGTTTGACCATCTCTGTATTAAAGTTTTCTCTGCGTTGTCATCTTGTATTCTGTAAAATGACTTCTGTTTTAAACCAAACAACCCACTCTTCCCTTCATTTTTACTGACTTCATTCAAAGGGTTCTCTAAAAAAGGCCTGATCCCTTGATTAACCAGTACAGAAGCTGAAAGTGTCTGGTTTTCTGATTTTTCATACTCATACGACTCAGGAGCAACAACAAAGCAAGAGCCAGCTCTAAATACATTCTGGCTTTTGGTTTTGCCCTGACGTCGTTTTAATGTTGTATGTACATCAAAAAGTAAAGAATTAAGTTCATGTTCTCTAAGATGTCCAGAAAAGCTAGTTAGAAATGGAATGCCAGCATCCTTGGAACCAAGTAGGTCTCTTTCAAGAACATAACTCAAGAAGAGTTCAAGGAATTTAATATATTCATCATCGTCACATTCAAATTCCCAAACACCTATTACAGGAAGTGCATTTTGTGACAACTTTTCATGATCTTCTTTTCTTTTAGGGTTTTCCTTCTGATTACATATTTTCTTTTTTCCATTGGGCTCACCACTCAAGGTTAATTCCATGTGATTTGGGGCATTTCTATAGCAAAATAAAATTTAAAAAGACAAAATTAAGATCATTTAATCACTAAAAATGATCTTAGCATTGACAATAAAAATTCTCTCCGCTGGTTAAGGCATACCTCTTGTTTTTTGATGCCTTGATAACCTATCTTTCAAATAAGGGGCAAAGATCTCTAAGTATTCACTCGAGCTGAACATTCTGAGTCCAAAAAATATAACAGATGAATATCAAAAGGGAAATTTTATGTTAAAAAAGATTAAAATGTGTTCACAGAAATTTCACTATTAAAAAAAACATGACTTTTTCTGGGGGAAAAAAAAAAGGTCCTCTAACAGGTCAGAATTTAGAAATACTATACAAAGTCAATAAAAAATCACAAGCCACCAATACACATCACAGTTTACAGTTTTCTGTTTCTCTCTTGCATCTACCCCTTTCAGCTTCCCTGTATGACATGCAAGAAGCAGGACTGCCCTCAGGATTCTTTACCACACAAAAGTTGGGTATTTTTCTAAACACTTTCTGCTGCTATTAACCTGTTGGGCAGGCACCTAACTACCAGCCATAATTACTTTTAAATCTGTTTCCTTTCAACATGGTTCTTAGGGCAGAACACAGATCCCTAGTTCCCTCAATAAAAGAAAGCTTCCAGTTAGGCACCTGGGCTGAAGCCGCCATGTCTCTTCCTATTAAGAATACAAAATAAGCAGTCTCCAAGGTATTCCTGTGCTAACACTGAATTTGTTTGGTGAAACAAGCACATCATTTATGATACTACCAGATACAGTTTAAGCAGATGTCTGAAGTAGATGATATTATTTCACTTAAGCAAGATTATGGTTGATTATATAGTCTTTCAGTCATGAGAAGGATGAACTGCATTGTAGATACTGAATTATAAAGAAAAAAATCTGCTTAAATCAAAGTAACAGAGGTTTAACTGATAAGCAAGAATTTCTCAACAATTTACAGACAAGCTTTAAAGATGAATGTGCAAAAAGAAAAAAAAAGATGAATTTGCAAATTCCTTCCCTGTAAACTCTAAAAATAATACAGCTAACCAAATAATCCTGAACTATTTAAGTCTAAGATTGCTGAAAGAACTAAAAGTCGTCCAGTGAACTCTAGAATTTCATCTACTCATTTTATTTTATACCTTCAGGTGGCAAAATTATTTTGTATCTCACTAATATTTTAAATGGATTTTCAACAGTCTCATCTTACACTCCTAACATTCTTGTGGGTATGGAGGGTGGTAATAATACAATCAGTGAGGTTGCTGGAAATAAAAATCAGTTGCATGAAAATACTGAAAGTACTTTGATCCCAAAGGAAGTGAATGCTTTCTATTACGAGATCTCAATTGTACCTTTGAGAGAAATGTATCCTACTTTTTTCTCCAGCCAACAAAGCTTCTGAGAAAGTATCAGCTGTATCTGCATCACTGTGGACCACAGAATTCCCTGGTTCTGTGAGTGTGCTCCTGCTCAAACTAGTTCCCAAGGAAAACTTGTCAAAACCTAGAACCTCAGCTGGTTTTTCTTCTTCAGTTGGTTCCCATATATTCATCTCAAAAGAACCTATATTTCTCTGCACACGTTTCAGAGCTTTCACCCTCACTTTATGGATAGAATGCATGATAACAGACATCATTTCCTGAGTTTGGGGACCTAGAAAGAAAAGAACAAAAGGCCTTAAAGTTCATTAAAATGTTTCAACTCAAGACATAAGGGGACCCAATTCTGGTCCCCCCTGGGAACATGAAATCTAACTGATGGCTAAGGCTTAGTTCTACAATCTTACAGATCATGCTTTTTTTCAATATCTGTTAGAAAGGTACGGTTCATATTTTTAAGGTAGAACAGGAGAAGCTAGAAAAGGTCCATTAAAGAACAATAAAAGTGACTCCATAAAAAAGTATGCCCTGGAAAACAAAAAATTTAGAAGCAATTTAACTGGTTCAAAATCTGATAATTAGAGAAAGAATCACTAACATTCTTCTCACTCCCATAGAGTGGCACACAAGAGAAAATAAGTATAATTTTAGCCAAAGAAACAAAAACACCTTTCTGACTTCAAGTAACAGAAAACAATAGAAAGGGAGGTTTTTCAAAACTACCTGCATAAAAATTTTTAAATATCATTAATACATAAACATGACATTTTAGAGATTTCAAAAAAGTCTGAAAAAATATAAATACAATGTAAGTACATTAATGCAATAATGTACATCATAGGATATTACTAGACTTAAATAACTATAGTTCTAAAACAGAGAGTAATCTGAATTCTTTAAAAATTTCTACAACATTATGAATACCTCATTTCATTGTACTTCACAGATATTGCATTTTTTACAAATTGCAATATCTGTGAAGGTTTGGGGCAACCTTCAAGCAAGTCTACTGGTGCCATTTTTCCAGCAGCATTTGCTCACTTCATGTCTCTGTGTCACATATTGCTAATTCTCACAGCATTTAAAACTTTTTCATTATTATGAGATTTGTTTTGGTGACCTGTGATCAGTGATCTTTAATGCTACTACTGCAAAAAGATTATGACTTGCTTATGATTATGACTCAGATAATGGTTAGCATTTTTTAGCAATAAAGTACTTTTTAAATTAAGGTATATACATTGCCTTTTTTTAGAGCACACTTAATAGACTATAGTATACTGCAAACATAACTTTTATATGCACTAGGAAACCAAAAAATTCATATGACTTGCATTACTGCATTATTCACTTTATTATGGTGGTCTGGAACCAAACCCGAAATATCTCCAAGGTATGCCTGTGCTTAATGCCATTGAACTGTACACTTAAAAATGGTAAATTTTATATTATATTTTACCACAATAAAAAAAAATTTTCACAAAGTCATCTTGAATGCATAGTATAAAATAAGGAGCATAAATAACCATAAAAGGAGAATACTAGTTTTCAATAAAATATCTGATTATACAAAGCATTATATATTCATTTTATATATTTTACCTTTTTTAATCCTCTTTCAATACATATTCATAAAGAAGTATTAATATACTCATTTTACAAATAAGGAAAAGAGGCTCAGAGATACGGAGCAACTTGCCTATGGTCACACAGTTACTAACTGACAGAGCCATGACATGAAGTCAGCTTTGTCTGGTTCCAAAGCAACAGAATTGGTGCTTCCGTAATGGGGAAGTGCTTCTGACTTCTCATACTCCTATCTCCAAAGGGAAATGCATAAAAACATAAGCACTAGAAAATAAACGCTTTCAAAACAAAATGAGAATCTTCAGCAATTTATCTATCAGATATCTAAGAAATGACAAATAATACCTTTCACAACATAGTGTCTGAGTCTCTGTTGAAGAGAGTGATATTTTTCTCTTACAGGAACCCTTATGTCCTCAGGATTGGGAAACGCTTTCACAAAAATTTCTGCTACCTTCAGAAAAATTTTAAAATGGGTTTTATGAGCATCATTCTTAATTATAAATAAAATTCTTTAAAGTCTCTGATTCTGATTTAGTTTATTTTCACCTACATTTACATTACCTCTCTGATTGGTGGCAGTTCTCCAATGAGGCTCAAAATTAGATCCTGAATAAGTTCTTCAATATTGGAAAACCGCGAGAACGGTAGCATTCTACAAGCCCATTCCACTGCACTGAGACAGTGCTCAACCATACAAGAATCAAACTTCACTTCGAGGTCCTAAATGGATATTAAAAAATATCATTTCCTTTTCACTTTAGACAGATAGACTAGATTCTTCGATCAAGCAATTATTTCCCAAGTAATATTTATTTTTCTTATTCTTGTGTAATTGATACCTTTTTTCCCTCCACATTTTCCCTTGCCTTCTGATATTGCCTGCAACTATAGGATAACTTATCACGGACGTGCAGCATCCAACACAAAGCACAAAGTTCTCTGAAGCAACCTAAATCAGGAATGGAAATATAAAAGAAGACTGTATGAGTATATACATTAATATTATAACAACTGTTGGTTATTTTTTTTCCAAAATAAATGTCTTTATACTGTTGATTACAAAAGAAACATGCTCATACTCAATACTTTATATAAAAGTTGTGGAGATCCTTACAGAATTTTTACACATATTATTCCAGAGTATTTCATACATGTCATACTCGCATGAAAATATTAAAAACACTTTATAGAGTAAATAAGCTACTCTATTTATTGGTAGTTTACTTGTTTTAAACTTAGAGTATATTGTAGATATTTTTCAAAGCCAATACACATAGCTCTACTTAATACCATATTGTTAATTTATTTGGAAAATCACTTATTAATAGGCATTTAAGGGACTTCCTGGTGGCACAGTGGTTAAGAATCCGCCTGCCAATGCAGGGGACACAGGTTCGAGCTCTGATCCGGGAAGATTCCACATGCCGCGGAGCAACTAAGCCCATGTGCCACAACTACTGAGCCTGCACTCTAGAGTCCACGAGCCACAACTGCTGAGCCCATGTGCCACAACTGCTGAACCTCGCGTGCCTAAAGCCTGTGCTCCACAACAAGAGAAGCCACCGCAATGAGAAGCCCGTGCACTGCAATGAAGGGTAGCCCCCGTTCACCACAGCTAGAGAGGGCCCGAGCACAGCAACAAAGACCCAACACAGCCAAAAATAAATAAATAAATTTATAAAAAAAAAAAGTAGGCATTTAAGTTAAAAAATTTTCAATATTAGAAATATAATTTCCAATAGAAAACAATATTTTTATTAAAAGTAATACAGGTACACAAAGATACATAAAATCATACTATGTATATACAGTTTTGCAACTATCTCTTTTTTTTCACCTAATGTATCTTAGATATATTTCCTTTTTCTTTTCTTTTTCCCTGGCCGCACCACAAGGCACGCAGGATCTTAGTTCCCCAACTAGGGATCAAACCTGTGCCCCCTGCAGTGGAAGCGCAGATTCTTGACCACTGGACCACCAGGTAATTCCCTCAGATATATTTCCATGGTGGCAACAGACACATACGGTCTTTTCATTATCAGCACAGTACTGTCACATGAAACTTCCCCGAATCAAATGTAAAATATATCATTACTAATATTTAGGCCTAATTTATAAGCAAACAGCTCATTTTGGACAAACCTATTGCTTTAATGGACACTTCATCAAGCTTGTGGTCTCCAGTTGTCCCAGGTCGAAAGAATGCTACACCTCCTTTACAGAAATTAAGTAACGACTGAGGGAAAGGACTCAATGAAGGAAGGGATCCTTTCATTCGAATCTGAAAGTAAAGAAAGAATATGTTAATTACCAGTCATTTAAGTCAATTTTTAAGGAAACTATAAAGCAACAAACAAGGCAGGTAAGATAAACCATAAAGAGTGGAAAACACAGCATGGTTCCCATACTATGTAAGAAAATATCCCTGAAATCACTTGTACTTTCAGAAACTTAGCTCACAAATTTAACTCAACAAATTCACTAGGCTAAATCTCAAAGGAAAAAAAAAAAGGTTCTAGCCAAATTAACCTCTCTTGTCACTCAGTTTTGCCTAAAAAGTTCTGTATAAAAAGAATTTAATGCTATTTCCCCTGACTTTCCCCAAAGGAATAGTAAAGAAAATAAACTTAAGTATCTAACTCTACCTATGTGCATTACCTAAAAACTAATACAGAAAAAGGTGTATCTACATACAAAACTTTAAAAAACTAATCTATAAGTGACAGAATTATAAAGTCATCATTTGGCAACTCCTAATAAAAAAATGACTCTAGCGAGGATCATCAATAAATGCTAAATTAGGTAAAAAATTGATGGGTTGATGGAGAACATGATAGTAGGTGGAACATGACCCAAATTCATTGATCCATCTCATACCATGAAAAGTGAAAGGAAAAGACGTATGTGCAACATGATATGCTGCAGAGGGGAAGTATACAATACCACTTATGAAGGATTCCATTCTAAGAAAATGTTAACCTGAATTTAATCAAATCTGTCTACTTTGATGAGGATAGATTAATTCCCAGCTTATAGAAAATAAAAAGAAAGAGGAACAACTTAAATGACACTAAATGAAAAAATGACAGACAAATCCAAAATATGGTTCAGGACCAACTACCTAATCTCTCTAACAAATCAAGAATAGAAAATAAAGGAAACTACTGTGTGTTAAAAGGAAACTGTGATAGAATAAAAGAAAAGCGGGACTTCCCTGGTGGCACCGTGGTTAAGAATCTGCCTGACAATGCAGTGAACACGAGTTTGAGCCCTGGTCTGGGAAGATCCCACATGCTGTTGAGCAACTAAGCCTGTGAGCCACAACTACTGAGCCTGCGCTCCAGAGCCCGTGAGCCACAACTACTGAGCCCGTGTGCCGCAACTACTGAAGTCCACACACCTAGAGCCCGTGCTCCACAACAAGACAAGCCAACGCAATGAGAAGTGCACTGCAAAGAAGAGTAGCCCCCGCTCGCCGCAACTAGAGAAAGCCCGCATACAGCAACAAAGACCAAACACAGCCAAAAATAAATAAATAAAAATAAACTTATAAAAAAAAAAAGAATAAAAGAAAAGGGATCTAAGAGACATAAACCTGGGAAGAAACGGATTAGCAGTAGGCTTGTAATCTATTTTCTCCCTCTACTATTCACTTCCAGAAAGACATGATCTAGTCAAATCCCCTTGTAAGCATGCTAAGGACAGACTTCTTGTCAAACAAATTAATGGTATTTACCAGATGTACAGAGTCTGTCTAGGCTGGTTATTAGAAACAAATCTAGAATGTATGGATTTATGGAGTATGACCCCTGGAAAATGTTACCCAAGCTATATAATTAGAGAGATATAAAAAGATGTTAAATAACTGAAATAGTTCCCTTTTGTGTCATGACGTTAAAAAAAAACCAGGACACATTCTTCTACAGTGAGAAAAGACTTTGAGCAGTGTATGCAATTCCAGAGTTCACTACATTTCATCTGTATCTTTTGGCTACCTATATCCTTGCAATTATTGGTGCAGTTTGACCCATGGATGAAAAACATGTGTCTACACAAAAACTTATACATAGGGGCTTCCCTGGTGGCACAGCAGTTAAGAATCCGCCTGCCAATGCAGGGGACACAGGTTCAATCCCTGGTCTGGGAAGATCCCACACGCTGCGGAGCAACTAAGCCCATGCACCACAACTATTGAGCCTGCGCTCTAGAGGCCATGAGCCACAACTACTGAAGCCCGCGTGCCTAGAGCCTGTGCTCCACAAGAGAAGCCACCGCGATGAGAAGCCCGCGTTTGATGCCATGCCTCAAAACTTCCTTTATAAATGTCCAGGAGTATTCTACTTTGAGAAGCAGGTTTCGTACTATAAATAAGCCTGAAATTTATGGATTTATAGGGCAGGACTCCTTGGGAAAATATCACAATTATAAATATTAATAAATATTAGTATATTTAAATCGTTTACCATACTGTTACCGAGTCTAAGCCCATACTGCTTGCTGCACCACAGGCCAATAATCGAGAAATGAGTTCTTGGGGCAAGGAATAACGACTTTATTTGGAAAGCCAGCAAACCGAGAAGATGGTGGGCTCATGCCACAAAGAACCATCTTGCCTGAGCTAGAATTCAGGCTCCTTTTATACTAAAAGGGGAGGGAGTAAAGTCAAACACTTCCTGGTTCCCATCAGCCTCTGGAGGGCATGTGTTAATTTCTTCCTCCCTGCAGTCATTCACAGGTGGGCCTGGTCAGGACGTTTCCTGTTAGCTAAAAAGAGGTATTTTAGCTTAATGCTCATTACCAGGGAAGCAGGGTTCCCAAAGATGGGCCGTTATGTATAATTTAAGGTTAGAAGCAATAAACCTTTAGTGATTAACTTGTAATAGAATACAAAAGGTTCTTCCCTATTTCAATAGCACATAAGTGACTCGGACATTTCCATACCTTCTGCATGACTTTTCTTGCCCATCTCAACTGCAAGATGTACCACTGTGCTACAGGAAAAGAACACCGAGCTGCCCGGAAAAGCAAGAGAACACGTTGAAGGATTCCAGACACCTTTTGGCGATTATCTTTTTCAGCTTTTAAAAGAAGATCATCACCATCTTCCTAAAAAGAAACAATAACAACAATTTTAGTAGCTAGTAAAACAGAAACTTAAAATGTTAAAGTGAAAATAAAGATAGTGCTTCTCAAAGTAGAATACTCCTGGGCATTTATGAAGGAAGTTTTGAGACATGGCCTCAGAGATTAACTATAGCTATTTCTAGTGTCAAGGAAACACTTCTCTCACCTCAAACAACGTAAAGAGGTAAGTCGACCCTAATCCCAAGTCTTCGGCTACAACAGTTGAAGCCATCACCCCGGACTCCATGGGTGGAATGTTACAGAGAAAGCTCCTTTCAAAAAGAATGACTTTTCCCTTCCTCTTCCTGGAAAAATCCCATTATATTTCAATGTCACCTCCTCCGTGAAGCCCTCCCATTCTGTGCTACTATGAGTCTTTGCTCAGACTTCCATTATAGCTTTCACTAATCTATTCTTGCTGATTTATGTATCTGTTTCCCACACTATTGAGAACCACCCAGGAACAAAGGCCTTGTCATATAGTGCATAGAGTAAACTCCAATATGTGGTAGGATCCAACAAATGTTTCTTGAATAAACACAATTCAAGTCAGTAGCTACAGATTAATTTCCCAGAGAATGAGATAATGTGAATACTGTAAACATTTGCTTCCCCAACCTTCTCCTACCATTGTCACTTCTTAAGAGTATTCAGTTTTTATTTGGGTATCTGCCCCTCTCCTACATAGCCAAATGATTCAAGGAGAGCTGATCCCATATCCCTAGCTGCCAAGGAAGGCCCTAGTCAATTGCCAAGCAGTACTTTGTATTAGCCCTAGCCAAGGTGTTTGATTCAAGGACAGGGAAGTGACCTCAGTCGGTCTTACAAGAGTAACTCTCAGTACTCTTGCTTGGAATGCTGGGAAAGAAATACTTTTTTACTACTTTTCTTTCTCCCATTCCCACTCCCTTTGGACATGGACAAGGTATCCTTAGAAGCTACTGGCAGCCATTCTGCTCCCACAAAGGGAGCCAGCCTTAAACTGAAGCTGACACCTTAGAAAACAAACTAAAAGAAAGAGCCCAAGTCTCTGGTAACATAACTAGATTTCTCAATTATGCCAGCCAATATTTACCAAGTTTCTGTTACTTACAACCCAAAGGGTTCTAACTGATACAGAGGGACATTTAAGAGAAATCCTACCATTGGAGATTATTTTACTAAAAAATAATAAAATGAAGTACTACTAAGGATTGGTACCAAACTAATATCAGCACAGCATATCCAAAAATATCTTAAATGCTATTTCTAATTCCTAAACCAACATACTGAAGACTCAGATATGAGAGGAAAGAGGAATTACTGAGAAATACCATGGACTACTTATTCTTTCCATTTGTAATATATTACACCTGAAAACTCAACAAATGAAATATTTTAATCTACTGAAACGTAACTTGAAATATAACAATGAGAATACAGCAAATAAGTCTAAAAAAAGAAAAAGAAAAAAAGTTGCTAATTCTGAAAAAGTAGTAAAGAAACAATACCAGAATCAATTTAAACAGCTAACTGAATATTAAAACAATTTAAATGTAAATAATTTACATTAACACTTTAAATCCTAAAACCAGCTATGTTATGATTTTCAATAAGAGCAGAGGAAAAGTTCCTGAGAGGAATACAGTATTGCTATTTATAAGACAGAACTATCAATTGAAAAGTATAGGAGAAAAAAATGACCTTTCAAATCAAAGAAAAATCAAACTAAGTCTTTCAAAAGAGGCACAGACAATGAGATGAATAAAAGACTAAAATAATGTATGGCTTGGGACTTCCCTGGTGGCACAGTGGTTAAGAATCCACCTGCCAATGCAGGGGACACGAGTTCAAGCCCTGGTCCTGGAAGATCCCACATGCCACAGAGCAACTAAGCCCATGCGCCACAACTACTGAGCCTGCACTCTACAGCCTGCGAGCCGCAACTACTGAGCCCACATGCCACAACTACTGAAGCCCACATGCCTAGATCCCGTGCTCCACAACAAGAGAAGCCACCGCAATAAGAAGCCCACGCACCGCAACGAAGAGTAGCCCCCGCTCGCCACAACTAGAGAAAGCCCGCACGTAGCAACGAAGACCCAATGCAGCCAAAAATAAATAAATAAATAAAAAATAATGTATGGCTTCTAAATTCTGACATTCTTTTTGCTACCCTAAACAAATGTTTATTTTTTAAAAATCTGGATACAGAGAAATATCTCTTAATTTTGTTTTATTATTGAAATAATTTTAACATTTATTGAATGCTTACTATGTGTCCTAGGCCCTAAAGTAAAAGCTTTTACAGGATATCTCATTTAATACTCTCAATAATGCTGTCAGAGGTACTATCATCATCTTCATTTTACAGATAAGGAAACTTAAACATCAGTTTAGTACACTGCCCAATATTACACAATAAATAAACAGCAAAGCTGGAATCCAGAAGTTAGCTTCAGAGCCTGCATTTTCAACTTGATGATTATTTTCAAGTTGATTATTTTAAAAATTGGACAAAATCAACTTTAAATTAGTTAAAAGATTAAGCACTAAGCTTACTTCACTAAGAACAGCTGGCTGAGGACAATATAATGGAGGAGCTGGAAGATACAAGCCGACGGGCACTAAGCCCCACAGTCTCTGACTGAAGTCCTTGGCAGAGTTTATCAGAAGCTGAAATGTCTCTGAAAGAATATCTGCATCAGCCATAACTGCTGCTTTCAGTACTTCCTGCACGGAACCAAATAGCAGATCTGCATCTTCTTCTTCAATGGGATCTAGCAAATACAAAATTAGGTAAAGTAGTTAAAATTTATATTATACTTTTCATGTTATTTTGTAGGATAAAATTTCATACCTGAAAAAGCTGATTGCCAAAAATGAACATATCAGTTGACATGCAAAACACCCAAACTTCTAGACAGAAACTTAATAAAGATTCTCTTACTTTTAAGATTATAGGTAATCAGAGCACAAAGACTTTTCCAAAATTATACAAGACACTGTAATAACAATTATATAATAAAAAATTCTTGGAATATAGTTGTGACTCAAAAATAATAAAAGAAAAAAATATTAATGGGAAAAATAAAATGTCAAGAAAGACTCCAAAATAACATACAACATTACATGAAGGCAGTGAGAGAGTAATTATTTTCTTTTTCATAATAGTCCATCACAGTACTTTTATAATAAAAAGGACTTGTGAAGCTAAAAAAACCCCCAGAAATATACAAAATAGTCATACAGTATGGCTTCAATTATATAAGTGTATGTACATATGGAGACATGTTCCAGAAGGCAAAATGCAGAGATGCAGGTGGCAGAATTGGAGACTTACGCACTTTTATATTAGGAAATATTTTAAGCATACTTTAAGGTATAGAATATAATATGAAAACACTCACGTACTGACTTTTCATCCTTGTCTGATATTAACATGTTTCCTACATTCAATTTAGATTAAAAAAGAATGTTGCAAATACAGCTGAAATTCCTTAGGTACCAATCATATTTCACTTCCTCTCTCCAGAGGCAGTCACTATCCAGAATTTGGTGTGGCTCTACTGAAACTCCTATTACACATATGTTGTGTCTTCCACAACATTCTATACAAAGTTTAACTTCTCTTTCATATTTTCCAACTCTTTTCTTTATATCTATACATTTTTATCTCTCTCTATATATTTTTTTGTGTGTGTATATATACAGAGATAGATCAAATTCATTTTCCAGTTCACTAACCATCTGCTGAGTTTTTTGTTTTTAAATCAGTTTGTTGAGGTATAATTTACATACACTAAAATTTATCCTTTTTAAGTGTACAGTTCAATGAGTTTTGTTTGTTTTTTGTTTTTTAAAATATTTATTTGGCTGCACTAGGTCTTAGCTGCAGCACGTGGCTTAGTTGTGGCATGCGGGATCCAGTTCCCTGACCAGGGATGGAATCTGGGCCCCCTGCACTAGGAGTGCAGAGTCTTAACCACTGGACAACCAGGGAAGTCCCCAGTTCAATGAATTTTGACATTTTCATCACTCCAAAAAAGTTCTTATACCCTTTTGTTGTCAATTCCCCCCTTACTCCCATGTAACCATTGATCTGTTTCTTGTCCCTATAGTGTTGCTTTTTATAAAATCACATAAATGGAATCACACAGTGTGTAGTTTTATTTCTGCGTTCTTTCATTCAGCATAATGGTTCTTCAATTCATCCATGTTGTTGCATGTTATCAGTAGTTTGCTACTCTTTATTAATTATTATTCCACTGTACAGATAAATTGCAATTTGTTCTTCCATCCACAAGTTGATAAGCATTTGGGTTGTTTCAAGTTTTTGGCTATTATGAAAAAGCTGCTATGAACATTCAATATACAGGTTTTTCAGTGGACCTATGTTTTTATTTTTCTTGGGTAAATACCTAGGGATGGAATCCATTGACTTTTTCTCTTTCTTCCTGACCCCTGGAAATTTCCCTTACTTTCTTTAAATCTTAGCCTTTAAATGCATATCTTTATATTTTATCTAGAAACACACTGTATCTATGTATTTATTGTGGGAGAGTTTTCAGATCATCTAAAACAATATATTGCCAGAACTGGAAGTTCAGACTGGGAATTTTTTAGTCCTTTTTTTCAAAATCAACTTTCATGTAGATACATTATCTTTTCATTGACTTAAAAAAAAAACTGACAGAAAATTATCAAAGAAATTTTATCATTTTCAGTCTGATTTCCAAGTATTATGAATTCTTTCCAGAAAGAGAAGTTATAATTAATAAGCTCTAGGAATCTAGAGAAGTCTCACTGGTTAATGGAGACAAGCACTAATAAAACAAAACAGCTATCCTGGTTTTATCATTAAATATATGACTTTAAATAACAGACTTCATTACTTTTTGTCTAAATTTCCCCTTCTTTAAAACAGACGAATTTTATAGGGCTCCTGGGTAAATATATGTATTACATGTAATATTATATTATTTTTTTATAATACCACTCAGAACTTTTCAAATTAAAAGCAAAACACAACTCTATGATTTATGCATTAGGCAAGAGGTTCTAAGTACCCCTTGACATCTGAGATTCTACGATTCTATGACTGCAAAAGAAAACAATCTAAATGCAGCAAAATACCACTAGTATAAAGAAAGGCTATGCATGGAAAATCAGAATATCATTCAGATACTGAACATTGTATTTTGAACTGCATCAGTTTGGGATGCTCCCATTATTAAGAATAAATAGCAAAATTTTATTTTTGATAAGCTTATTACTTCAAAGCATTAATATATGTGTGGGTACTTAAAAGCTTTTTAAAATACCATAAGCTTTATATTAATTAAGTCGATACATGTGTCGACCATACATAGGTAACACACCTGTAAACTGTTTGTATTTTGAGCCCATTTCTTTTTTTGCTTCCAAAGAGGCCGGCTGACCTAAAAAACACTGCAGTTTTTCCTGGAAAATCTGTGCTGGAGTCATATTTAACGGTAGATTCAGACCCTTTTTCCTGGACCTGAAATCACATCAAATTAAGGGAAAGGAATACAAATTTTGAAAAAAGGAAGCATACACACATCAAGAGCTAAACATGAAATTTTAAAAAACAGAGAAATTCACTTTATTCATCCTATATTTAGACAAGAAATAAGCAAGGAAATACTGTATTAAGGATAGTATTAAGGCTTTCCATAATTATGGTACTAATATATCTCCTCATCCTTACCTCCCACTGCTGCCCTACAAATGTACTCTATCCAAACCAAACCAAACTTGCTTCTGCCATATGCCTTTGCTCACATTTGGAATGTTCTCTCTCCCTACAGCTACTCAGTTTGTCAAGATCCCATCTTCCCTTCAACGCCCATCTCAAATGACATCTCCCACATAAAGTATTTCCTGTCCTTCCCTCACTTGATACTATTGCTCTCCCTACTGTACCACGGGCACTTTTCTTACCATACTATGTAAATTGTAATAATGTTTTGTCCTATTTTCCCTATTAAACTATAAATGCCTAAGCATAGAAACTATGTACCATTTAAGTTTACAATCCACTAAAACACCAGGCATAGAGCTTGATACAGAGTTACTTAATAAATAAACATACATTGAATTATTGAATTAAAAAATACAGAAGACACAGCAATACCATAACCTTCAGAATAGTTAAAATATAGGGATTAGTTTGATTAGCTTAAAACTCAAATCCTGTTTGGGAAAGACAAACTTTCCCATTGACTATAGGCCCTTTGAGGGCACTACTAACAAATTAATGTGCTAAATAGATGTTTTAACACTGTAAGTAAGCCTCTGATCTGTCCAATACAGTAGCCACTAGCTGTATATAGCCCTCTAAATTTAAATTAATTAAAATTAGATGGAAAATCCAGTTCCTTGGTCTTACTATCCACATTTCAAGTGCTCAATAAATACATGTGGCTAGTAGCTATCAGATTGGATAGCACATATAGAATATTTCCATTACTGAAAAAAGTTCTACTGGACAATGCTGAACTAAGGATTCCACAAAATGCATAAATACCAGCAATGACTGAAATAAAAAATATTTTAGATGACACCATCATACTTTCCTAAAAATACATACCTTGTGAAATTGCTATCATGTTTACAGAACAGCTGCAAGGCCACACCAATGGAAACAGACGTCTTCCAGTCTCCAAGTTTCTGTGCCAACCACACAGCTTCTGGAACCAGGCCACCAATAAATAATAATTCAAGGGCATATTCAACTGTCCACACATTAGAAAGATTCTGCTCTCTAACAACACTGGCCACCTTCGAGTGTTGCAGAGGAATAAGTCGAAAGGGCTGCTCTGTGAGTAAATTAAAGAAAATGGATTTTACAATTATATATACAAGAACTCACACCTCCTTTTATAGATCTCTTCAATCAGTATTTCCTACACAAAACCACAACAAGGAAGATACATACAAAATGGCCTAAAATAATGCTTAACATACTCTAGAATAGTCTTTTTAACATTGAACACTGTGTCTCTTTAGTAGGTCATGAAGCAAATGTCAGCATTCCTAAAAACATGAAACTGAGTAGACACAGAAACAAAAGAGACAGTATCAGAGTGCATTACACAAAATAAAGGTAAATAAGTACAGTTTAATGAAACTTTTTGGTCAGATAATATAAACGTACACACACACGTAAACGTACCGGTCACAGTGTACAGTTTACTACTGTGGGCTGCTGTGAAATATATAGCTATTTCTCCTACTGCATTATGAAATCTGGAGGGCAGAGACTGCATCTTACCTGACTTTGCATTCCTCATAGTGTCATGGGATAAAAATCTAGTTTGAGGTAATACTCAAGCATATTAAATGTTCAATGTATTAGTGTTTAACAGAAAGTAGAAAACTGTGATTTTCAGTAATCCTGAACAAATGACAAGATTTCAGTCTGGCCTGAGATTAAATACAAAGGGCAATAATATCCTCCTCCCCAGCCTTCTGTATCCTTCCCTACTTAAAGTAACTTGAATGAGAAATTTGAAAATACTATGACAGAGCTGTTATCTTTTAAAAAATACATACTGCTAAGATTTTCACTCACTCCCTCAAAATAAAACTGGTAATTAGTATATGTAGGTTTTTGCTCCTTGAAATGAAATGATTAGTTTCTTATGTGATCTGCATAGGCTCTGCCCATACCAAGCACTAACATTTTAGCTCTTTGACAAAGATATGGAAAGAAACGAAAAATTTAGTCAATCGATGTCTGTTTGATTCTGCATAGGCAAACAGCCAGGAGATAGATGAAATATTTCCAGTTTTTAATTCACTATGAGTAAGACACTGTACCATTTGAATTTGAACGATTTAATTTTCTGAAATTTTTACTGCTTTCACACAGCAAACATCATACCAGATAAGCAACTCAAATCCCCAATACATTCTGCCACTAGTTCTGATTTAAAAGATTAACATGAAATATATTCTAAGTCAAGCCTGCTAATATCATTTTTCAAGACAGAGGGAGATTAAAGAAATTAAAGGATATATAACAAGTTTCAGATATTTAAATTGTCAACCATCATAGTCTAGTCTCTGGCATAGGAAAAGAACACAAAGTCTTCTCTCCTACTCTCTCCTCTAACTGGGAAGATATTTACGTAGGGAATAAAAAGGTGTCTCTGAGCTTTTATGAACGTTTATGAGTCTGCCCAGAAACAATTCAATAACTCTGTCACTTTTCTTCACAAAGTGTGATAAATATCAGTCTCCCTTGGATATGTAAAGTCATCTGTAAAGATAAAAATCATTAGCAAAGAGCAAAAGTCCTATAAATATTGTAGGACAGAAAGATAAGAAATTGAGATAAATCTTCTGAATACCAGGATTGTACCTTTTTTTTTTTAAGATTTTTCTAAAAACCACATGAGGGCTTCCCTGGTGGCACAGTGGTTAAGAATCCGCCTGCCAATACAGGGGGCACAGGTTCGAGCCCTGGTCCAGGAAGATCCCACATGCCGCAGAGCAACTAAGCCCGTGCGCCACAACTACTGAGACTGTACTCTAGAGCCCGCAAGCCACAACTACTGGGCCCCGTGCCACAACTACTGAAGCCCACGTGCCTAGAGCCCGTGCTCCGCAACAAGAGAAGCCACCACAATGAGAAGCCCGTGCACGGCAACGAAGACCCAATGCAGCCATAAATAAATAAATAAATATTTAAAAAAATTAAAACCACATGAGTTCTGCCTCTCTCCTTCAGTAAAATTATATGGATTAAGGATACAATTTGTTATCAGAAACATTATTACCAAAAATAGGGAGTACAAGTAGTAAATACTACCTCAGTTGTGACAAAATAAAGAGAGCTCAAATAAAAAACTATTGTAATAATTAGTGTCAAATGTACAAGGAAATAAGTAATATCCAACTGAGAGGTTCAGTCAGAGGAAAGCATAAAGTGAGAGAAAGAAGCACAGGCTGTTCTCAGGGAGAAAAGGAGGGAGCACCAGCTGAAACTGAGTTAGTGGCCAATGGAGAGGGAAAGGGGAGAAGGTAGATCCTGGAAAAACAGAGCACCCGTTTCTCTGTTTACACCAGCTCCCTAAGAGAAGCCATAATCAGGTCAGGGCCAACTTTTCTTCCCCAGCGAAGCAGACACCTCTGAAAAGGAACCTCTAGACAATTTCCTTTCTGATCCTAACTTACATATAAGGCTCTCTAGGGTCTAGAAGCTCCTGAAAACCCTGATGACACTAGAGTCTAACACTACTGTTAAAGCATCCAAGTGGGTGAGGACAGTCCTCCACTCCCACCCACACCCTGAGAAAATTAGAGTCCAAACACATAGTTCAAAATCCACAGTTCTGTGACTAAATCTGATGACCACTTGTTGCTACTTCTATTAAACTTCTAATTATATTACATCTTGTACTACTCTAATCTATGTGTGCCTTGCACATGTTTATCAGTTCGTGTTATTTCCTGCTTAAAGCCCTCCAATAACTTCCCATTGTACCTAAAATTCAGATTTCATACCCTGGCTTACATCACCTGGCCATCTATCTCTGTCTTCATCTCATACCACTCTCTACCTCACCCTCTGTGCTCCAGCTACACCAGTCTTTCAGTTTCTCAGACACATCAAGTTTGTCCTTGCTCTAGAGCCTTTGCACAGGCTCAGCTTATAATGCTCTAAGTCCTATGCGTCCATGGCTGGCTCCTTCTTGTCATTAAGAGTTCAGCTTAAATGTCACCCCCGCAGAGAGCTCTTCCCTAAAGTCACCACCTCAACTACCGACTCAGTCACAATACATTTCTCTACTTCAGTTCTCTGCGTAATAATTGTCACCATTTGATAGATCTTTGTTTATATATGCATCTATTTAATTTTCCGTCTCAATCTATTAGATGTACTTCCATAAAAGAACAGGTATTTCATCTGTTTTGTTCATGGCAGTTAGGATAAATCTGTTCCAAATGTCAAGACAAGACAAAACTACAGATGTTTTCATATTATTAATTTCATATGGTGCAAGCTAATATATTTCCAGCACCTACAACACTACCTGACACATAGCAGGCACTAATAAAAATTATTGGAATGAATGAATATCATAGAAATCTGTGTACATGCTTATTTCCATTAGGGTAGGGCAGTTACCTCACACAGATTAGGTACATTTTGACTCTATTAATGAAATGATTAAGTAGAGCAAAGAAAATGATTCAAATAAAATTATAAAAGTAAAATGTCCAAATAAAATTAAATTCTAAATTAGCATACTCAAAATTTGTTAAATTACATTTTTATAGCCCTTTTGCTTTAAAAATGGAAACTTTATAAATGCCAATGTGTCCAAAATTCACAATTTAAAAATACATAGTCAATAAAAACAAGTCCAAAGCAATTACCTTTCTCAGATTATATTCATTCGTAAATAGTCACTCGTGTATCTCCTTCGCGTTCAGGCACTGACCTAGAACAGTTTTATTTCCATGGACTAATGATCACCGTATAATACGATTTTAAATATTACGTGCAAAAACAAGGTGAGAAAATTATTTGTTTACCTGTTTTAACATGAAGGGGAGGAAGAACATTCACATTGTGAGGTGGCAAAATGCAAAGCAGCTGATTGGTGAAATAGGAAGCCATGAAGCGAGCCATGGACTGGATAACCCTCACTGCCGCTTCAGGATGAACATTTCCAGTCACTCCAAACTCACAATGAGACTTCTCAGGAACTGCAGGATACACCAAATGACCAAAGGAGATTCTGATCAAACTATCAAAAGTAGTAATATTTAAGTTCCCAACATTATGCAAGAAGAAAATTATAATTACAACTTTTTTCTGAGATGAACACCCATGGCCTACACAAGTTAATTTATAATAGCTATCTACACTTCTTGAAGACAACAGAACAAAAATAATTAGCTCATAATTATGAGCACATACACTTAGGAACTCTTTTAACCTCAAGCTACTAGTTTTACCTAAAAACATGGAAGGATCTATACAAACAATCCAGCCATAATGGACTTGCAAGTTAACATTTCATTATTTATTTTCCCTTCTTTCTTCCCTTTCTAATTTTCTTTCTTTAATGAAAGGAGGCAGGGTTTACTACAAAGATAATCTGAAAAGCACCAGAGCAATGATTCTTCATGCTTTTTTCTGTACCATTAGGTCTGGATATTATGATATACTTCCATTAGTAAGAGTAAGTCCTTACCATAAGATTCTTCTGGGAGGTATGGACAAAAGGAACACGTGGAGTGGAGGGAGAAGGCAGGGGAGGGAGAGAGTTACATCACTATTTCTAGGGTGATTCTGATATAAACTAGTAGGAGCAAACATGTGTCATCCCTATTTGAAAATCAAAACTCAATAATATAAATTGGCATTCAGATATATGTAAATAAACAGTTAAAACTATTAAACACAGATAAATACTAAGTTAACATTAGTTTTTATAAAATGTATGGCCCCAACAATGGCAAAGTATCTTTCTTTCTCAGAAGTCACTTGGGGGGAATTCCCTGGTGGGCCAATGGTTAGGACTCTGTGCTTCCACTGCAGGGGTCCCGGGTTTGATCCCTGGTTGTGAGAACTAAGATCCCACAAGCCACGTGGCACAGCCAAAAAAAAAAAAAGAAAAAAAAGAAAGGAAGTCACTTGGTAGGTATTCACAATAATATTAAGTTCTATATGTGTATGGCCATTTCTATCTTGTCACTTCTTGGAAGCTTGTGCCTGGTTTCCTCCGGACTTCACCCCATGCTCCTTTTCCCTTTGCTGATTTTGCTTTGTATCCTTTCATTGTAATGAATCATAGGTGTGAGTACTACTATATACTAGGCCCTGTGAGTCCTGCCTGTGAATCCCCTGAACGTGGGAGTAGTCTTGGGGACTCCTGACCCAGTAGGGATATGATTAATATACTCTAAACAATTGTCATTAAAAATTAAAACAAATACATTACAATAGGTTCAACTTATCTTGAAATTTATTATCATGTCATGACAAGACTACTGAAAAAAAAAAAGGAATATCAGTCAGTTAAAAAGTCACACATATAAAAAAAAAAAAAAAGTCACACATAAGAGTTTTCCACTCATACACAGCTACCAGTCCTTTTGGAGGGCAATTTGACACCAGGCATCAGAAGTCTTAAAACCATGGATTCTCTTTGATCCTGTAACCTCATTTCTCAAAATTTAACCTAGAGATATTATTAGTAATGTTCACAAAAATTTATGTACACTACAGCATTATTTAAAATATCAATAGTAAATAGGTGGCACCAATCTAAAATGTGCAATAATGAGGAAAAGGCTTAATAGGTTTTTAAAAAGAATATTATTTACATTGGAAAATATTCATCATAATATTAAGTTTAAAAGATTATAAAACAGAATATACATATATAAATGTATATAGACAAAAAATGGTAGATTAAGTGATTTTATTTTCTTCTTTAAACCTTTCCATATTTCAAAATTGTCTAAAATGAACTTGTACTACTTCTGTAATGAACACAAAAATTTAAAAAGACAAATATCACCAAAAGTAAGAAATCTATAAACAGTGGTTGCATATGACATCACTTATATGTGGAATCTAAAAAGATGATACAAATGAACTTATTTACAAAACAGAAACAGACTCACAGACATCGAAAACAAACTTATGGTTACCAAACGGGAAAAGTGAGGGGGAGGGATAAATTAGGAGGTTGAGATTAACAGATACACACTACTATATAAAAACTAGATAATCAAGAAGGACCTACTGTATAGCTCAGGGAGCTCTACTCAGTATTCTGTAATAACCTACATGGGAAAAGAATCTGAAAAAAAATGGATATACGTATAACTGAACCACTTTGCTGTATACCTGAAACTAACACAACATTGTAAATCAGCTATACCCCAGTATAAAATAAAAATTAAATTTTAAAAAAATGCAGAGAAAATATGAATACCAGAATAAAAATGTCATGGTATTCTACCATCTATCTCACCTCAAAAAAAACAAAACAAGGGGCTTCCCTGGTGGCGCAGTGGTTGGGAATCCGCCTACCAATGCAGGGGACGCGGGTTCGTGCCCCGGTCCGGGAAGATCCCACATGCCGCAGAGCAGCTGGGCCCGTGAGCCATGGCCACTGAGCCTGCGCGTCCGGAGCCTGTGCTCCGCAACGGGAGAGGCCACAACAGTGGGAGGCCTGCATACCACAAAACAACAACAACAACAAAAAAAAACAGTGGCTGAAGCCAAAGAAACCAACACTGTTCTGATAAACTAGTGAAAATCAAAGAAAGGATTTTACGTAAGAGATGGGCCCCACTTCTCAAACTATTTTTAGAAGCCTTTGTAAATTAACTTCTTTTGATCACTATTTTCCATCAGTAAAATGATGTTCTAAACAAATAATCAGTTATTAGAAAAAAACCAAAACAAACAAACTCTATTAGAGTCATGAACTCCATTTAGAAAGTTCTGATACATTGAGCCGTTCTGACACATTCATACGCATAGTATACATCTAATGGTCTACGACCGTATAACTATTATTATAACTATATTATGTGTTCATTCATATATATCTTTTACTCTGGTTACTGCTTAATTTAAATACACCTCTTTTAAAAAGCACAATCTAAATATTCTGCAGCCTATTAAGCAATTTTAAAAAGACTCGGAATACCTCAGAAAGAGATTTTCATCACTTTACTAAACAACCTTAAGCAACCATTAAAGAAAATATAAACATATCAAGGAAAAGTACTTGGGTACCTGATATTATGTCTAACAAATAGGGCTGTGATACAACAATTGTATCAGTTCAGCAGGCAATTACTGCTAAGCCTAGAGACCCAAAGATTAAAAACAAACAAAAACATGATCCTTGCTACTGAGAAGCTGACAGTCCAAAATTTACCACAAAGGGCAGAGCAACCAACTTTTATGTATAAGCAATTTCATATCTACACTTATAAATACAAAGTATTAACATTAAACAAACTGATTTTTGAAAAGCATACCTGAACAATCTTCATCTTCCTTTACAGGTAGGTGGGACCATATCAGTATTTCTCGTACTAGCTGATCACATAATCCTTGAGCATCATTTAAATTATAGTTATAGAGGTGGCAGTACAAAAGGGAAAGATAATAGCGTATCTGAAGAAAACATATCCTTCTTCCTCCTTAAACAGGGAAGAATTACATTTACATTAAAAACATGTTAGCTAGGTAATGTTCTTGATCTGGGTGCTGGGTAGACAGGAATGTTCAGTTTATAAAAATTCATCAAGCTGTACATTCATGTTATGTGAACTTTTCTGTACCTGTTTTATACTTTAATAAAAAACAGGTAAGCAATATTTTGTTCTTTTTCATTTTAAGTTCTGAACAATTTTATTTTCTTTGATCAGGCCCTAGGATGACTAAGAATTTATCCAAAGAGAGGTGCACATCCTCCTTATCTCGGTACTAAGGTCCACTAATGACATCTATCTCAAGTACACATGGTATGAAACAAAAGGGAACATGCTAAAAATAAAAATTTTTTAAAAACCACACAAGAAATCATACGAATATCAAACAGACCATCAAAGAGACTTTCCAAAGGAGAAGAAACACTATCCAATAAGATAGGAGCCCCTGACCACTGCCTTCAAACATCTGAAGGGTGCTTAGGACTGAGACTGCTGGCTGCCCACTCCTTATCTATTCTTTCTGAGTAAAAGAATTCTAATTTTATTTGAGGTTACAATGCACCCAGATCACAGTTTCTTGCTAGATGTGGCCATGTGAAAATATGACAAGTTCTGAACCAAGAGATAATATTGTATAGAACTGCTAGAAAAGCTGCTTAAAGAGAGGTAACTCAACTAGGAGGTACACCCTTTTCTTGCCCTTCCTGCCTTCCTCCTTTCTGTTAACTAGATTATGTACGTGATGCCTAAGACTTCAGCACCCATCTTAACTCATGTAATGGCCTTAAGACTGGAAGCAACGCACTAAGGACGACGGTGTAGAAAAACTAAAGGAGCATGAGTCCTTGATGAGACCACAGAAACACCGAATCAGCCCCAGACTATCAACTTCTGGCCTCATTTCCTAAGAAAGAGAAATAAACTTCTTTCTTGTTGAAGCCAGTTATTTTCAGTCTCCATTACAAGAAACCATACCAAATGGGTACAGTTGGAAAAGAAATTAAATGAAAAGGTCTACAATGAGACTATGAAAACTTTTCTTCATGAGAACTTATCACCTTGAATGTCACTCTTCTTCATCCAGTTGGACAATCCCCAAATCTGAGAACTACATTAGACTTCTTTACTCAAGTCCAATTGATCAAACCTCTTAAATATCTGACAAATGTGACTTCTGTCCTCCAGTACTCTTGACGTTGCTTTGGTTCAGGACCTCCTCAACTGTCTTGCTTCTAGGTAAAACCCACATCTCTACACCACATTCCTACAAATGGCCCTCCATAATGTACTGAAGTGATCTTTCCAAATGGCCTATATTTATTTGAAAAGTTCTTTTTCTTACATAAAGTATCTTAACTGACCCCACTGTCTTCAGGATAAAATCTTAATCCCATGGCACTGCAGAATATCTTCCTTTATCATCTGTTCTCTACCTCTCACTTTAGCACTCACCACCCTATCCTCAATATTACACACATATTTCAAATAATCTGGTCCTGTTAAAACTACCTGCACGTTTACCAAACTGCCATGGTTTCCCATGCCTTTTTGCTTTAGGAATGCTATATATCCTTTGTTAAACCATTCCCACTCCTTCAATTGGACAATTTTCACTCAATTTTAAATGTCAGCTCCTCCAGGTTTTCCCCAGACTGATGTTTGCACTCCAGCTCAGACTGTGTGCTTTCCCGGCACCTACCATAAAACATAATTAGAAACATGCTAGTTGTTTATGTGATCTCTCCTCCAGATTGTGGGCAACTTTAGGGTAAACTTGTTTATTTCAGTTATTCCTATTGCCTAATACACATAGCAGGCCCTCAATAAATACCGGTTAAGTAGATAAATTAATGAAACATACAAAGCCACATCAGTCAGAAAATAAATTTAATAATTGGCCAAACCTGACCAGGTAGTAGTTGCAGTCAAGGATAGCTCCAAGGTCACTACCTGAGAACCTCTGTCATCTTACTCATACCCTCAGCCCTATATCACAAAAGCTATCACCAGTTTCTAGAATCCACACCCCTAGATTCTCATCAAAACCTCAATGCAGGAGACCTTCCCTGTTGGTCCAGTGGTTAAGAAACCGCCTTCCAATGCAGCAGACACAGGTTCAATCCCTGGTCGGGGAACTAAGATCCCACATGTCACGGGGCAACTAAGCCTGCACATCACAACTTCTGAGCCTGCGAAACGCAACTACTGAGCCCATATGCTCCAGAGTCTGAGTGCCACAACTAGAGAGAAGCCCGTGTGCTGCAATGAAGATCCTGCGTGCCGCAACCAAAACCCAATGCAGCCAAACAAATATTAAAAAAAAAACTCCATGTAGCCCATAATAAGTCTAACTCACAAGAATTTTTTTTTTTAATTTTTTAATCTTATTTTATTTTTGGCTGCGTTGGGTCTTGGTTGCTGCACGCAGGCTTTCTCTAGTTGCAGTGAGCGGGGGCTGTTCTTCATTGCAGTACATGGGCTTCTCTTTGTTGCAGAGAATGGGCTCTAGGGGTGCAGGCTTCCGTAGTTGTAGCACGCAGGCTCGGTAGTTGTGGCATGTGGGTCCAGTTGCCCCATGGCATGTGGGATCTTCTCAGACCAGGGCTCGAACCCGTGTCCCCTGCACTGGCAGGCAGATTCTTAACCACTGCGCTACCAGGGAGGTCCCACAGGAAATTCTTAAAGTTGAATTACTTAAGGGCAGAGAGCCTTAGCTCCATGTTTCTATAAGTCTGTAATAAGGTGACAAATTATCTGACCCATAGTTTCTCGTTTAGATACTTGCAGTGCACTAAATGACAAAATATATATTTTTTAAATTTGGGATTAAGTCTCATTTTTTTCCCTATCAACAATCAATCACAGGTTCCATCACTAATCAAAAGGACAGAGGAGCCTTATCTATGGATAACAGAAAAAATTCTTGGTGCTACAATTTCCAAGACTAAGAATAATTTTAAATAACTATTTCTGACAGTAAAGGTACCTACAGTATGTATTCTATTTGAGCATTAAGAAATGGTGAGCACTCAGAAATCTGAAATAATTTTGAAGCTCAACAGCATGCTAAAATATGGTCCTACCAATATTATGGCAAATATTATTTTTTAACACTCCCCTACCTTTCTCTTGGGTTTCTTGAAGAGCTTTCTTCCATAGTTGAACAGACTTTTCATATGATCCTAATAGGAAACACTCTTCCCCTACAAAGTTTTTAACCAAAAATTAGTGCTGGTTAATTAAATTCCTTTATAAACATGTACTTGTTTTAAAATTTAGTGGATACAACTCCACCAGAAATTATTTTGAAAAGCAAATAATTGCAACCAATTAATAAAATCAAAGTCCAACTAACTATATCACTTATTCCTGGAGTTAGAAATTGTTTATAAGATACTGACCATTGATAGATTTAAGTTCTAAGGTCTGGTTCAAGAGAACTCCAGCAGTCTGCAATTTAGCCTGTATATGACATAACAGGGACTTGACAGTAGATGCTTCATGTGTCATCTTTTCAGTTAACTGTATGTCATCTTCAGGAACGCTTTGACTTAATTGTGTTTGATACCATAAAGTTTTTCTGTACAATACTCTCCAGAGAACAATCAATCTGCACACAAAATTAGGTAATCATAAGAATCAAATTTCAGACTAGGGATAAGAATGAGTATAGCCTCCTCATTAGCCTTTTTATTTCTGCATGTATTCTTCACTGAGGTAATAACATGTATACAAACTGATCAGATTTAAATATAGCACAAAGTCCACTGATCAAAAAATGCATATTTTTAAAACTTTCATAAATGCTTTATGTACCTGTGGTCATTTTTCTATAGTGCTTATCTAAACCAAAATCCTTCAACAGTATCATGGATGCCCAAGACTAATAAAATATATGTGTTGAAGAATATCTGGCATAAATTCTATAACATAAAATCTATAATGCTGAGTGCTAATGGGTACAAGGTTTCTTTTGAGGGTGATAAAAATATTCTGGAATTTGTGCTAATAGTTCTACAAGCCTGTGACTATACTAAAGATCACTGAATTGTACACTTTAAAATGGAGAATTTTACAGTATGGGAATTATATCTCAATTTTGAAAAATCTATAAAGCTGATGGTCTCCTAATATTAAAGTCATTATACCTGTGTCCTGGCTGTTGAACAAAATTTAATACTTGAGGACGAAACTTGAAAGACGAATTCCAAGACCAGTTTTTCCGAGCACCACTATCTTGAAACATTTGAAAAATGGGTACCACCAATGAGTCTTGCTTTGCTGTTCTACTTCCATCAGTTGATGCTGAAATAACTTCTGGTTGAAGACTGTATACGCCATTTAAATGATCAGCTACCATTCTGAGTAAATGAAAACAGGCTAAAAGCTTCTTTGAGAATAACTGATTCTGTTGTTGCTGTGTCAGCAAAAGCTTTATAGTATTTGAGGTCAGCTTTACCAAATGTCCTACATCTTGTCTGTATCTCATATCCCAGTACTGGATTGATAAACACTGATGAAAAAGTTGAAAGATACAAAGTACCCATGCATTATGTCTTGGGCTCTTGCTTAAAAAAAGATCAAGTTTGGAGAAAGGACATTTTATAAATTGAAGAATGTACAAAAAATGAGTGATACAAACTACTGTGTAATTTAACATTAAATTTTTTTCTGTCACATTTTTTGAAATTCCTATAGTCCATGCTGCAAGGAGATTTTTCTGGACAGAATGCAGTTCTGTAACAGTTTTATCTGTCTCCTCAGTATTATCTTTTGCATGTATGGTATCAAACATAGAAGCAAATTCCAGTCTTCCTTCTTTGGCACTACTAAACAATAGATCCTTCTTTTGGTTCCAAAAAGAAAATAAGTTGTTTGGAAAATGTTCGCCTTCATTAGTTTCTTCAGCTTCAAAATCCTAAAACATGAGTGAAAAAAATTATACTTAATATCATTTGATTCCTTACAAGTAGAATCACTTTAGTGCTCTCAAATTTGTCTTCCCTTTAATGAAAGAAAAAGAAAATATGTTTCTTGGAATAAAGTCAATACGTAACTGTTCAAAGTAAATAAAACATTGTTACTAAGTACCTGCAAATCTGCTGTTTTTCCATTTAACTTCATTGTTTCTTCTGCCTGCAAGAATCTGGGAACAGTAGAATCAGCTAAATTTTCATTTCCGTGGTGTTTTAACAAGCTAGATCTTAGGGAATCCAGTGATTGCAAGTTCAGCCCTTGGCCTTTTGGCTATAGAAGAAAAAAGATTTCCAGAGCAAAATTTTGTTGATAATTGTACTACAAACAATTAAAACATCTACAGATAACTGTATACAATCCAAGGCTGTCAGTACAGTTTTAAATTTGAAAGGACTAAGAAGTCAACTTTTACTAATGGTACCAAAAAGCACTATACCTTAGACAATATCAAACTTTGGTATGTTTTCTCAAGCCTCTGTGTTGAATCAAGTAGAAGGGATCTCATGAGCTCTGATGGAGACAGATTATCAAGAAATCGAAGGGTTGTGACCATGTATCCATCAGAAATAATGAGGTAGGGTAACCGTGAATGTGCTTTTATAGAAAATCTCTGTCTCATAGGGTCACTATCAGAAGCTGATGAATCTACAGAATTATCTGAATCTTGAAGTGTAAACTGCTGTGGTCTAGCAAACAAACACCAAAATTCAAGAATTAGTAAGAGAAAAATCTTAAAGGAAACAATTATGCTATTCCAAAGAAAAAACAATTAAAAGTTCCAGAATGATGAAAATGCAAGCAAATTAAATGCAAAAATATTAAATGTGCATATATCTATGAGGAAAACATAAGTGATTAAATAATACAGAGGTTTATGTGTTTTTTAAAAATTTTCCCAGCATTGTGGCACTTACTCTGTCTTGTTTTTAATCTAGTTTTATACAACCTTTTCCAGAAAATAATTGAGGCAGTTCATTTTTACTATTGAAGAGTTAGTTACCTTTCCTTCTTACTATCTATTTAAATATACATATAAGAATATAATTAGGAGCTATAAGTATATTTGTTATTAAGGAGGAGAAAGAAAAGAAACAGAGGACATCTGGAGAGGATGGTGATAAGTATAATTTTATCAGCTTAAGATTAAATCTGACCGAGTTTCCACATAAGTGTAGTTATTTATTGTTATGGTGGTGTACCTGATTCTGATTACTTAATATCACTGACTATTAACTTTGGAGCTTTATAACTATAAAGAGAATAGCAAACATATAATTTTTTTTCTGGTTAGGAAACGAATCAAATATAGATTTTATTAGCCAAATGATCCACAATAGAAGATTGGTTTCAGAATGTACATGCTGTGAAATTTATAAAACCATTAAAAAGTGACTCCATGGGGCTTCCCTGGTGGCGCAGTGGTTGAGAGTCCGCCTGCCGATGCAGCGGACATGGGTTCGTG